TTTATTCTTAGCAACTTTTCCCTCTAAAAACCTTATTGGGACTAGTATGGACATTTCAAGAAAAAATAGACATCGCTCCAGCGGTTCTCAATAAATGCGCTTACTAACAAACAGCATTTCATTTTTATTATAATACTAAAAATCTTGCTTCGCTCGGGTATGTCTCTATAGTCTATGTGTTACTCCAGCTCATGGTTTATCTAAACACCAAATTGTATTAAAATCCGTCCTGTCCTTTAAGTGTAAAGGAGTAACAAACAAACACACACACACTCACACTATGTAAGTTTTCGTATACATGTAAATAAACAGTCCGCTAAAAAGAAAAGTGAATGCTTTTGCTTCAAGTCGCAAAATGCACCTAAAGACGCACCGTAGCGAAGCAAGGTTAAATCACTAGTAATAATTAATAACAAACTCGCTGTATCCATACACCGTACTCCGCCACAATATTTCTAGCGGCACTTAGCGTCAACGCGTAAATTTGTCTGATCAAAGTGCCGCTGGAGCGTCGCGTCGATTGCGAACGTTCTTTCATCTTCATACTTAAGTGTTTTGATTTGAGTGGATTATTTATTTGCAAATATTACAATTTAGTCATTTATTAGATAACCGTGGTGTTATTGTTTTGTAGATGTAGCTATTGTGTAATATTTGTATGAATCATGCACACATCTATAAGCACATGTCTTTCATACATGATTACCTCGTACAATGTTCCAAGTTCGAGTTCCAGACGGAGGAAATAGGTGCATTTGAATTTTGATAATATATTATATCTTTTCATATAACTAATACTCTAAATATGTCATTTACGATGTAGCTCGAAGGTGAGGGTAGGAACTTATCAAATACACACCTCTATGTACTTTATATTATACTAGCAAAACCTGCGGCTACGCTCGCGTTAAAACTACAAAGAAATAGCTAAAAAGGTAGTTTCATACAAACTTTCATCCCATATTTTACCCCTTTATAGATGAGTTTCGAAAAATGCTAAAACACGTATTTAATTAGAATTCAATAGATTGAATTTCAATAGATTGAAGAGCATTAATGCCAAGTTTCAAGTAATTCTGATCATATATATATATTTGGATTGTATTATAACGTGTTTTCCCGAGAGAATTAGATAATCTCCCAAGATAAAAAAATAGCCTATGTCACTCTCTCTAGCCCTCCAACTATCTCCATACAAAAAATCACGTCAATATATCTCTCCGTTTCGACGTGAAAGAAGGACAAACAAACAAACAAACATATTTTCACATTTATAATATTAAGTATGGAAGTATGGATTGTCTTCTTTAGAAAGAAAAATATTTTTATTACCAAGTTAAACAAACTATACAACACTTTTCTTTTAAAACTTTGAAATCTAAAATTCACACGAGTATAATTAATATTTATTTTATGCTTTAACCGAATTCACCAGTCAGAGACAAAAGTCTACATTAAGTCAAATGTTCCCACAGGATTCGAACCTAAAACCTTTATAGGAGCAGTGACACACATTAGCCAAAAGTTCTTAAAAGTATATTTGGAATCAATTAACTTAAAAAGTATACATATTGGCAACATTAATGAATGAGTGAATGTCATTAGCAAAGTCTTTCATCTCTTGAGTTTTATTATAATAGCTTTTCGTAAGTAAAATTTAAGCTGACTTTTACAAAACGTGCAATTTGTGTCACTGCTTTAATGGCAACACTTTCATCTCACACTGAATCATACTAATTCATTGTTTATTTTTGTTCCCTTTCATTTGTAATATGAGTTGCATCGATAATCTATACTAATAATATAAAGAGATAAAGTTTGTGAGATTGTGACGTTGTAGGGAGGTAATCTCTGGATCTACAGAACCGATTTAGATGAAATTTGGTAAGAAGATAGTATGAGACCCCGGGATGGACGTATGATACTTTTTATCCCGGCAATCATCCCATAAAAATTTGAAAATGGTGATGAAAGTTTGTATTGGGAAGCAAGGTAGAGATGAACCCGAGCGAAGCGAGGGTGAGTCGCTAGTCTTAGTAATAAAATGCTTGGAGTTTTACTTTGTACCTATAATACAGTGTTAAAAACCCTACAACATTATTCATTATATTTTATAGGTTCTATAGGTTCTAAAGTTCTAAAATATTAATAATTTGCTGAAAATATTTAATTAAAAGCCCTTTTAGACATTATTCATTATTTTTCGTTTTAGTTTAAAGTTAATCCCTCCACGACCGCGGACACGCCGGCGTATTGGTTAACAATAGATTTCTAAGAATTTTAATTAATTTCTTAGAAATTTACCTGGAGGTGTTAATATTAATAATATTTGTGTAAATTATGAAGGGAACGAAATAAAACAAAACGCTATAGTTACACAAATGTTTATTTATCGCTTACACAAAAATAGACAATGAAAATTACACGCGAAGTTATTAAACGCTAAGGGAAAGAAATCACAGATCCAATACATTCATTTGCTAAGCTAACTAAAACTTTACTATACACCCATAATGCGTACAACTAATATAAATCACAGTTTTAATAAAACAAGCTTATCACAAAACTGAAATATGAAAAGGAAAGACCATCTCAGAGTATGTACTAAAGCGTTCGACCGTGTGCACTATCAGTCCTTATCAAAATCTTTATCGAATTATAATATTTCTCTCCCAAATTTATGCCTATTTTCCACTTCTTTATCACAGCATTCCTAATATTTAACATCTAATTTATTCTTGACTCTTCAAAGATTTAAAGTAAGGTGTCCCTCAAGGCACACTTTTAGCTCACCTTTAACTTTTCATACATTTACATGCCAATTTAAATTATTACATAAGTGTGATTAATTATGTCAAAATGATTTTATTTACTAATGATTTATACACATTATATTTCTGACACTTTTAAACGTATTTTACAATTTACTGCAAATATTTGAATTATAATATTTAAATTATAGAAACATTTCGACATAATTAATTAAAAAAATATTTAAACAATGAAAACATACTGCAAAGAATTGATGTAATACTGTAAGAAAATTGATTTTAATTCAGTTAAACGTGGGATTAAATGAATGTTCGATAGAACCGATTGATTTCAATACTCTGCTATGATAATATAGAAAAAATATTATTATAAGTATATAGAATATATCTTTTAACAGGTAGTGATTAATGATTATAGTAACTTATGTCACTATAACATTTATTAATTAAATACCATAGACACAGAGAGTGGACTGAGTGTTTTTTTGCCAGCCGTCAGCTAAAAACGGCGGACAGGCGAGATAGAGACAAAACGAAAGTGCGGCCAAAAATCTTCTGTATTCATTGAAATACGATTAATGAAGATAGACATTTATAACCATTTTACATTGCATTATAAATTATAATATTATAACTTTCAATAATATTATATATTTTTTACATTCCATTTATAAATTCGAATTGGAATAAGAAACAGGTATCAGCCGCACGTTCGCTTTCTCTCTTTCTAGTGTGGTCAATTTTATGAGAGTATTTCTCAGTCCATTCTCTACGGCTATATTAAATACATAGAAAATTTACAATCGATTATACAACCATCATTCACAATCGACCACCTGAATCGTTTTAGGAATACAAATATATATTTGTGCGATATAAAATTTAGAAAATGAAATATATAAGAAAAATAATGTTCAACGTTAAAAATGTTTTATCCGCATAGGTTTTACATCCATAGAAAAATATGTATAGAGACATCAAAAAGTATAAGACACTACGACATTACAATGTAACGACATAAATTTTTCAAAGATTACTCGTATTCTAAATCTGTTCTAAATTCCGAATAAATATGGATTTTTGATATTTCCGATACAACACGCAACATCGATAAGAATATACTATTACAATAACTATAAACTACGCGTTATTTTTTTCAAAGCAAGCTACAGAATAAATTTCGATAAACAATTTACAAATCTCCATCATTCGTCGAAGCAACGTCAATGTTATGTTTTGTTTGATTAATCGTTTTTAAAATAACTCGATTACTCGAAATTTGGTTTTAAAGCTTTCAAATTAAATGCGTCTAATACAAACGAATAACAACGAGTTGCCGATTATTTATAATCTGCAACACATTTATATATAGATAATAAAATTAAAAAAGAAAATTCAAAATAATATATATTTCTCTAAACCTGTAAATAAAAAATTAAATTTAAAGTCTCAAAGACCAAGATTTAGACTAGCATAAATAATAACTTAAATACACTTGGTAGGGCAAATTTAATTTCAAAATCGAACAATTGACTGTATATAATATTATATTATAATCAATCTATTTTTGTGTTAACTTTATATAACATGAAAAATCATACGATCAATTCCTAATTTTTAGAACATGTAGTGCGCACGTCTAAAAATGTTTACAACTCGCTCAATATATTTACGTATACGAGCCTTCACGTCATTCACTCAATCAATCTGTGGTTTTTGAAACAATGCGTTTAAAAAATATAAATAAATTAGTATATAAGGTTAAAATAAATAAGTACTCTATTCATCTAATTACATATATATCGAACACAAACGCTCTATATCTAGTACTACAATTATGTCATAATTTATAAGAAATTTGGCCGAATTATGTACGTTAAAAACCACAGTCACTATGTTAATTTTGATAAAACTTCGTATCATTCATACAGTTACTTCCAAAATTTGATTAGACTCATGTAAGTACTATTTTCAATAGAGACCTAAAATTTTGAGAAATGTACGTCTCCATTTTTAAATGTTTATAATTTATATACTGTATTTATCAATGGGTTTTTTTTGCAGCAATATTTCAATCAAAGCAAAAACTTTTACATTAGATTATGGGAGTGCAACAAAAACCATAATTGTTAGCTTCGTCTGTATTTTGATTTGTCATAAATTCGGTTTTAAAGTCATTTGTTTGGAAATCAACGTCATTATTAGTGATTTTAGATTATTTAATGTTTATTTCTTGCCAGCTTTCTTCATTCGTCCTTGTTTTATTACTTGAATAAGTTTTATCTTCTGAGCTTCAGGATTCTCCAAGAACTCATCTAGCATCTAATAGATGGATAAATATAGATATATTAGAAAGAAGACATCATGAACAAACAAATTACCACAAAATAAAACAAAAAACAAATTATAACAAAAAAACTAAATAGTGACAGGTTAAAATTACTAATTATTGCAATGACAAATTTACAAAACAAAATGATTTATAATTTATATCATTGGCAAAGTTATTCAAACATTTAAAACATAACACAACTGAAGAAAAAATAATTATCATATTAAGTTCAAAATTTCGAAAAAACAAAATATATTTCTAGGACAAAAAAAACAAAGAACCAACCACCAATACTCACAGTCATACTGAGTTCGGCCGCAATGGCTGCCGCAGACGCGGGTCGCTCCGACAGCGCTATCAGAGTGGGCAAGAGAGCGTGACTGCGTTGGTGCGAGACGAGCCAGTTAGCGGGCAACGTGCATAGGGTTTTGATCACACTCCAGCCGTCGCATATCGTTTCCTATAGACAATACGAACTGATCTTACAGATGTTATTTAACCTTTTAAATTTTCGCGTTCCATAATTATATAATAATTACACTACGGGACTCGTTAGTGGCTCGGAGTCTGCCCGTGACCACTGCTGGTGCAACCCAGTCGAAACGTCGGGAATATAGTATATATCCAGTCCACTAACGAGCTCAAATATAATTTACCTAAGTTAGGCAAAGAACATGAGACAGACCGTGCATTTGGCTAACACAGTGTGGAGGTATAAAATGGCATTTAGTTTAATTAATTAGAATTTAAATAATTGCCATTTGCCTTTTTGACGAAATTAAGATAACGCTCGGTCAACGGTCAACCTTTTAAGGCCTTTTTTTTTTATAAATCTTCAATATTATCCATTGTTCTCAACGGGGGTCTCGTTGTATCTTAAGAGTCCTGCTATATATAGGCTCATAAAGCCGATATATAAATCCGTCCCTGCTAAGGACCTAAGTTTCTTAGAAATAGACTAACACATACTATATGTAGGTACATACATACACCTACATCAATGTACTTCCACATACACATACTAAATTATGCATTTACAATAGCAACCCAATCCGTCTCCATCAAGTCGGTATATTCTCTTATTACAAACATTCACCTATTTATGTACAAACCCACGACCGCCGTACAGTGACAGTCAAACACATAACCTACCTACCATTACGATAATCGACGTTGTTGACCAATATATATGTAAATATGCTACTTTTATAAAATACAAACAGCTTAATCACAGGTAATATTTAAAAAAAAAATATCTAAAATTCCCTACCTTAATTACTTAGAAGATTACGAAATACCGTACCACTAAGCTTTTATGTCGACGACACCAAATTTTCGAGATAGGGTCCTCCCATTAAAACACTTAGCGCACTTGACGAAACAAGACAATGTCGTAAATATATCCCATGTGTTACAAATTCATAATTAACTTGGGCGTTGGGCGCATAAATTATTCATTGTAATGGTCAGTTGCCTAATGCAAGAGGAACAATAACGGCCCTAAAGTGCTTCCCTGAGTTACTCCGCGTTAGACAACACCTGTGTCCGTGGGAATTTTATGGGCTTTGAAACGTCGCCTGTTTTTTTTTACTTAGCCACTTCTATTACTTTTAATTTATTAAAAGAAAATGCAATTTTATTTAAGTAAGGAATTTAAATAAAATGGAATGTAAGCGTTACAATGCAATTTAGTAACAGGACTTAAAACTTAGGACTTAAAATCGGTCCCCCCAACGTGCGTTCACCTTATCGTGGTGGGGGGGCTCAGTAGTGCCCGGCAATCCAGCCGGGCGCGAAGCCAAGAAACGCACAGGGAGGTGGCCCACTTTGGTGGGCGGTGGGAGGTGGACCTCTTCGGAGGGCGGTGTACCATGCGGGTTGCTCCTGGTACTTCTCTGATAGCAGAGTGGACCTTGGAGCAACCTCGTGGTTGTTGTGGTCTGCTTCGGCAGACCTGCCGTCGGGGCGTCGTAGTTGAATGCGTAAGCGATCCTGGGACGCCCCATTAAGACGGGGGAAGGTTTCGTTGGGTTTTAGTGGGTAGTACTAGCTTCGCCGGTGAGTCCCACACCTCGTGCGTAAATGCATTTCCCAACGTTAAAAAAAAGACTTAAAATCGGGTTTCAGCTATAAATGCGAAAGTTTGTATATATATTGTATATATAATACATAGATAGTCCATGACCTGGACGCAGCCGAGCGAAGTGAGGGTAAAACACTAGTCTATACAAACATATAAAATTGATGCTAACAGCCTTTAAAAATTATATTATTATACCTTTAAAAATTTTGTCTGTGTGTCTGTTTGTTTCGGCTAACCTCCGAAACGGCTGGATCGATTTTAACGTAACTTTCACTGGCAGATAGTTAATATTAGTAACTCAGGCTACCTTTATTGTAGAAAAAGAGTTAGGGTTCCGCACAAAACATTAAAACCCAAGAAATTGAAAGAAAATCATTAACCAGGGAAGCACCCTAGCGAAGAATATTTTTTTTTAATTTATCATAAAGAAATACAGGCAAGAAAATAAGTTTGCACTAGCTTTTTTTCTGAATACCTATATAAAAAAATAATTTAAACGCGCAGTGATGTGTAAAAGTATTTCACTACGAAGTAAAACATTCAACGTCTTTTCAATTCAACCGTCCGTCTTATGCGGGCTACACCTGTAGCTTACACGTGTTTCGTTTAATTTACATTCATAATACCAATAACGTTTATGGCTGATTTATTGCTTAGTAATAAGTTTTTTTGTTTAGAACTTTTGTATAGGGGTAATTTCTCATTGATATCTACGATTAATTATTATTTAATTAACTTTATAAAAAAGGGGACAGACACAACGTTAACAACTAGTTTAAATGTTGATAAAGTTTTAGTATTTGATCATTGAGTTTGTACAAAAATATCTCTAAAAAAAAACTTCCGTTTTTCACGGTATATAAAAAATTAAGTAAAAAACACGTAAAACGTCGTTAAATCTGAGAAAAGCTAGAGAATGTCACTAGTTAGAATGATAAAAAATTACATTTCCAAACATATACAAAACTCAAGATACACGATTAGTGTCTTAAAAGTGTCCTTAAAAAAAGATGCACAATACGAAATTTAATTTGAGCTTATTAAAAATATCTTTTGTTCATTACTTTTCGGATGACAAAATACACACACGTTGTTTCTTTTTAAAAAGTACTTTATATGATATGTTTGAATTAGTGTTTAGACAATTAGAACTATCGATTTTTGAATTTTATCCTTTGGTTTGACTTAACGTCACATGTCGACGAGACTTTTTTTTTAAATGTCAGGAAATGTGTATCTATATTTATATGTCAATGTTTCCAAACTAATCATTTATACGTTACCTGTAGTTGCGGATTGTTGACAACAACGAATCCGACTAGAACTATGAGATCTAGGACCATAGTTTCAGACAATGTTTGATCTAATCGTTGGCTCCTCAACACTGAAACAACAAAAACATTATACATACATACATAAATGTGTGTATATATATATATGCATTTGATAAAACTACTAATGTCTCGTAGCTCTCAACGAAAGACGATATTTACATCTAGATTCAAGCCAAATATTTTTTTAAGATAACAAGTAGCTATCTTTGTGGTGCCTTTATTGTTAGGTTTTACATTAAATACTTTTTCAATCTGTCAGAACTATCAATATATTGAATCCAAAGATGGCAGGATAAACTCTAGTATTATACGTTTTTATATGAAGCGTGATGTCATATTTATAGGTTTTGTGCACAATTCCGTTCGTATATGAGCTAGAATTAAAAATAGGTTGTTAGATTTTATTAAAACCATTCAAGAGAATTGAATTGAATTCAGTTTTCCAAAATTCTTAAGTATGAAACAAATAGTAAATATATACTGTTAAAATGTAATATACAATGTGAAACTCACGTAAAGCAGTAGTTCTGGGTGCTTCTTTCTCATTGGGTGCATGTTGCGACAAAAGTCTCGCGACCGCCGCTCGGAACTCCAGTGGCCAACCACCTTCACCGAATGCCTCCTGTTAAACAATAAATAACTTTGTAAAGTAAATAGTAACAAGTAGTTACTTTCAATAATTTGGACCTATAGCTGTGAATGCACATACATACGAATATACAAAAATTGTACAATATAATGTACCTATCTATATACGATTTCTTGGCCATTTTTAACCAATTGTTTATAATATTTAGTTATGTTTATGTTTGTGTTTGTAAAACTTTCTTTTACGCGAATATTTGACATTTTAAATAAAACTATCTTTTCGGATTATTCCAACGTTTCGAATGCTTTACAGTGCACATGGTCACGGGAGAGACTAAAGTTATAGACGTCTCAAACACATACTTGTTACAGACAGTACCTACCCACTATTTTACAAAAATGATTTCTAAAATTCAAAAATGGCAATTAAGTACCTTACAATATTTGTTCATTTTTATTTCTAAACATTTTAAAAAATTAATAAGTATTATCTATACTAATATTATAAAGAGGTAAAGTTTGTGAGATTGTGAGTTTGTGAGTTTGTGACGTTGTAGGTCGTAGGGGGTAATCTCTGGATCTAGTGAACCGATTTTGAAAATTCTTTTACCAATAGAAAGCCATGATATTTCTGAGTGTCATAGGCTATATATAATCCGAAGAATGAAAAAACTTTTTCATAATAGTCGGATTTGCAAAGTCAAGAGTTTTTTTTTTATGTTTTTAATTTAGGCATCTTATATTTGAATGATATTTTATTTGGAATTATTCGGCTGTTAAAATTGAAACTTTTCCATACTAGACTACCGAAATTTAGTTTTTAATTTATTTTTTCTTATATCTGAGACGTTGGGGAATTAATCTGTGCTAAACTGGCACGATTTGGAGCCATTAACAAAATTTAATTCATTTATCTCTTAATTACGAGTAAGCAATCGAGAGAAAACATATAATTTACAAGAAATTGTATCTAGCCCATTCACATGTAATTACTTAAGAGAAATCTCCTAAACTTGAATTGTCTACCACTTACTATAACTAGATTACGTACATGGAAAAATAAGACCAAAACCAAAAATTTGTAAAGCAGATAGATACAAATTGGAATAACAAAGTGAAAACTTTTGGTTTCTCGTGCCATTAGCAAATCGGGGTTCACCTCGAGCGGCCGAGCGTGACGACACGAATCTCTTTAGGAGGCTGTCTACTCTCTTATGTCGGTCACTTACGACTGCTGAGCACGCAAGGAAGTTGTTTTGATGTGCCAGTGATTTTGGGGGTCAGATTTGTTAGAAGAATTACATTATGGGCTTTTACGGTGGTAGATAGCCATTACATATTTAAAAAAAAAGCTACACATTTTCAAAAGTAGAAACGGGTGTATTATACAAAGTTTACACTGTATTAGTGATGTAGTAGAAAAAAAGTTGATAATATGTCTTAAGGAAGTTATTATATTATGTTTTAAGAACTCAAGAATAATCAATCGAAGATGGATTCATTGAAAAAAAAAATTCAAAGACTACACACCTAATTATAAAAATACGTATATTTCAATCAGAATTATTTTAAAATACAAATCCTGGTATTTCTTAGTAACAATTCCACAATATAAAATTTTAGTTTTGGAATCAAATTAATAAAACAATAAGTTAGGAAGTAAAATTAGTATTATCATAAAAACACGAATAATTGAGATTTATGAAATAAGTCATTTGCGCTATAGCAACACAAAATGTTGCTCATTCAGTAGTCATAACAGATAAGATTGTAATGTAGCAGAAAAATTATGTTGTTTTACAATATTACGAGTATATATATAAATACTTAGCGACTCGCCCTCGCTCCGCTCGGGTAGTGACGTTTTGACGTTTACTTTACTATAGATTTCCCAGAGATGAGATATTTTCCCGCTATAAAAAGTATCCTATATGTTAACCCGGATAACCAGCTATCGCCATACTAAATTTCATCAAAATCTGTCCAGTGGTTTTCTCGTGATGCGTTGCCAAGACAGACAGACAAAAATTCTAAAAATTATAGATTCGGCTTCTGTATCGATAATAAAGAATATTTCAATAACATTTTCCAAAAAATATTTAATGTACCTACCTACACAGATTCTACTCAGTTAGAATTTTATTATACGTGAAGATAAATGTCTTCCAAGAACAAATATATATATATATATATAGGAGTTTGCGTCTCTATAATTATGTCGGTAACATTTGTTCTTACACACACACGCATATATATATATATATATATATATATATATATATATATATATATATATATATATATGCGTGTGTGTGTAAGAACAAATGTTACCGACATAATTATAGAGACGCAAACTCCTTATGTATCATTATTATTTATACAAATACCCGAATCCAGATAAATTTGCCTTTCACTCATAACTTCAAAGTAAACGAAGAATGTAAATACAGCATCTCCGGTGAAATAATAATAAAAATCAAACAATGTGCTCTCCTGGGTGCAGGGTCCGACTTTGATGTCTGTATAGACTCCATAATGGCATGAATAATTGCGGACCCATGGGGCCTCGCAGTGTGGCCAAATAATCTGTTGTTGTTGTACAATTTATTGAGGGCCTACGTGGCATTTACCATAAAAAATAAATTAGTTATTTAAATCTTAATATGTTTTCTAGAATAAGCTATAACTAAGATACAACTCAAATTTAGTTATCCTAAATCATATTCGGTTCAATAATATATAATGAATTTAAAATACTAATGCTTATCATAGTAGATGTTGTGTCCTCATTTATTCATTAAATTGTACATATTTCTAAAAAAGATAGAATTCTTGTATACAAATAAAAATGTAATGTTATTGCTTTCGTAAGCGCTTCACTTGAGAACGGCTGGAACGATATAGGTAATATTTATTTTATAATTTTCATGGCCTACATAAGATCGGAATAAGGTTTTAAAAAGAAAATTGCTAGAGAATAGCTAATTTCTCTAGAAAAAATTCATTCAGAGATCACAAACAAATCTATTTGAGCAATGTGGAGTCAGTAGAAAATGAAAAAAAGCATCAAAACTTAAACATATATATATATATATATATATATATATATATATATATATAATGTATTTAATACAATAATAATAAATATAAATATTATAAATAAAATACGAATAAATAATACTGATGATAATAAATAATATCTATAAACTATATGATAGTGGTCGCAAGCTTTTCCATTTATAAGATATCTGTGGAAACTTGATTAGTTTTAGGATTACTTTTATATGTTTTATAATATAATTATTCATTATATCGTATATTTCCATTGAAAAGCAAACAAATAAATGAATAATAATTCCTAGAAAGTAGCGCGGCTTGGTCACCGTAGCCCGGGGGCCCGGTTTGTTTAGTTGTCCGTGGTGGGCCGTAATAGATAATAAACACGATTATAAGTTTATTAGCGGTCGCAGATGCATGCCGCTGCGTTTTGTAGGGAATTGGTGGATGATTGATGCCAGTGCTATATAATCTGCTGTGGTATTAAAAATTGAAGAATGCGCTAAAATTTCTGGTATACAATAATGGTAAAAATGGACTTAAAAATGGTTATTCGCAACGGCTCAACGTATTTGGATGAAACTTAGTACACAAGTAGGCTATAAGCTGGAGTATCACATAAGCTAATTTATACATATAATAAAATTCTAACTTAATCTGATCTGTACCTACATTAAATATATTTTAGAAAATCTTATTGAATGACTATCATTATCATCGATCGATAAAGAGGCCGAATCTATGGTTTTAATTTTTTTTGTCTGTCTGTCTGAGAAATGGAAACGCATCATGAGAAAATCTCTGGACAGATTTTGATGCGTATGCGTATGATAGCCGGTTATCCGATATGATACTTTTTAGTGCGGAAAAATATTTCGTGTCTGAGAAATCTATACTAAACGTTAAAACGTAACTAGGGACGAACCAGAGCGGAGCGAGGAAGAGACTAGTGTTACTAATAAAATTTACACCTACGAGTAGGGAAACACCCGAGCACTGGTACATCCTAATGTAAATAGACCTGCTTCTCATTTAATAAAATGGAAGGGTAATATTGAAATATCATTCAATTTAACCAAAACCATTAAATATATCAGAATCCTTTCCCACAATTTCCTATAATTTCCAACGGTCCGTCGTCGGTTCATCACGTGCCGGCATTGTGTTGTTTACGCTTCACTAACGCACAGTAGTCATTGAGGAACATAATATTACTTATAGTTAACACATGTTGGTAAACGTTAGTCTTTCAAAGTATCTAGTAGATAAGTGCACAGTAGATAAAAGGTCACTGGTTTGATTTCTGTGCAAGGTTAAAATCAAATATATAAAAAAAAATTTACAAGTATTTTTGCATCAATAACGAATTAACTTTTATACCAACTCTTGAAAACAGATTTCAGACGCTTGTGCATCAAACACGCCATTTAATCCGTAACAAATTGTACACAAGCCGAAAATCCCCTGAACATTCTAACAAAACTCATTTTATCTATCATGTACCAAAATCAATTTACACTAAATGAAAAACAATGATTAAGAGCTTTACTAATATTATATCTAACGTGAAAGTGTAAAATAGTGGTTAAGGAAGTAATCTTCCTTAACCACAACATTACTTGTGTTTTAATACATACGTGTGTTAGTTTGTTTGTCCCTCTTTCACGCAACAACGAAGCATGAAGCAACCGAGAATTATTTATTTACTAAGAGAATAACACGGTAAAATGGCATAGAACTATTTTTATGTAGGTACATTGGATGGTTTCCGTAAAATCGAGTTTTCCCAAAAGTTACTAAAAAACCCACGTGTCACTCGTATCCTTTCCGCCTTTCCTTATTTTTATTACTACAAAAGGGAGTTTCCGGCAAGCGTCTGTCTGCACATACATATATATATGTATATAAAATTATCGTGTCACAGTGTTCGTGACAAAACTCCTCGGAAATGGCTTGACCGATTCTTATGAAATTTTGTGTGTATATTCAGTAGGTCTGAGAAGAGCATGTAAACTATTTTACATACCCCTAAGTGATAAGGGTAATTTACCCCAATTGTTTTTTATTTTTGTACAATTTTTTTTTTTTTATTATTCGACATTATAAATACATACAAATTACAAACCTAAATTTTCATATATACATACATGTATGTGCGCGCGAATCTCAGGACTACTAATTTGGAAGCGCTGCGTATTGCATGTTTCAAATAAATATGAAAACAATGTATATAACAAACATTAGTTTAAATAAAACAGAGAGAACATATATCTATCTTCAATATTTTCGCAAATATTACCATATTTTGTGCTCAAGAAGTATTTTTTGACTATAAAATATTTATCATCACAAGTACTTAATAGAGACAATATTTATATTTTATAGTGTGTCATTTGGTTATATAGTAAAATCTATATAATAAAATAATTTTGGGTTCACATATACAGACTACAATAATTATATTTAGTTTCCGCGTATACCGAAAAAAAACATTTATTTAAAGTTCTAACGTAATTCAATATCGGAGGAGAAAGTACTCTATACGCGAGGGTGGCGTATTGTGACAGATGTCACGTCAAAGCCACGGTCATCGTGACATGTCGACAGTAGACGCGTAATCGATATGTCAGTAATACTAGTATCGATTATTGCAGTATAAATGTATGTACGTACGTACATTTGTTTATGAGATGATTGGAAGTATTTTGATAAAACTACCAATGAAAGAAAGCTTTTAAAATGGTTAACTAATCAGTATTTTCAAAATTAACATTATACAAAGTTTTCTTTTATTTTAAATGTGCTTCATATTCAACGCAATAAAACGCAAAATTTTTAATCACTTGGCATTCTTATAAAAACGACATAATTTTTTTTTTGTAATGTCTAATGTAAAAATATATAGAAAAAATTCCACGACTACATCGTATTAGTCACTCAGACATAATATATTATCTAACAACATATCTATCTCTGACCCACCTTCATTATTGAAGCTTTAATTAATGACGTAATATTATTGAACTAATTATCGTATCTAGAAACATGAAATTTGATAGAGATTTTCTACAAAAAAAAAAGAAACTTAATTTTATTTGTATCGAATAATCGATACTAAAAATGAACATCGAAATAGAAAGCTAACACAAGTTGAATCGGTTACGGCGCCGGGCACTCTTGCAAACAGTATCGCCGTAATATATTTGCGATGGGATCTGCAAACATTATGTACATACCTACCGTAGGGATTGTATTACATGAAGATAAATATCGATAACGATGTCGACATTGCTGTTTACTAACGTATTAGAAATAAAAGCATTGTTACTTAAATATTTAATATTCTTTTTTTTTCTTTTTGCTGTTCGGAAACATTCTTATAAAACTTTTCATTACACAATTTGTAGAAATTATTGTTTGTTAGTTGTTACTAGCGACTGCGCTATCCCATAGATATTATCGTCATATTTATAAAAAAATATCTATAGGTCCCACTAAGTTTTCCTTAGACACATTAAAATAAAATTTACATATATTAACATACATACCTACGTATATATTATCGTTATCGATTATCGTGTAATCAATGTACCGATTACCCATCCCTATTCCCAACTGCATGGTACGGCGAGCAGATGATAAATTGGCTTCTTGTGCCTGTAGAGTAGCGGTTTTAAATTGATTGGGCTCCGTAACTTCGTTACACGAATCGTACGTACACTTGTTTTGCAATGATTCTCACACAGTCAGTGGGCATTGTTTCAAAACCGATATAAATGTAAATATGATATTATTATGAAAGAAATATGATATGGTGTTATAAAAGATCATATAAAATATATTAAATTTACATATATTGGATATTAAAACATCGATATTATATGCAAAAGGAAATATTTTAACATTTAAATGTTCTAACGCATTTTATAAATTAAGTAGTAGTGCACGTACTCTATATATAATAGATTTTTATATTAGCTGTAAATTTCATAGAAAATGACTTCTACAATTTTCGCACTCTATTAATAATTATCAAGATTTTTGCTTTTTTTCTGTTATGGTACATATAATGTAATGCCACACTTTGTCCTAACTAAATCATGGGACACAAAATAGGTTTTTTTAGCCATTTGGTGTCCCACTGCTGGGCAATGGCCTCCTCTTCTGCTTCCACTCTGCTCTATTTCTGGTGATGAATTGCCAGTCTCTTTTTATAATATAAATATAAATATGTTGGTACATTAACACACAGCACCATCTAGTTCCATGGTAAGCTACGAGGCTTGTGTTTTAAAAAAAATATCTTGTTTTTAAAATAGAAGAAGCGATTAGAACACTGCAAATCAATCTTGACTCTCATTCGCAACCTACCTGAAAGTACTTACTAATCGGACTACTTAAAAACCATAATAATTTTGGTTTTACATACATAATTTCATATAATCGGTTCATTCGTTCGGGAGCTACGATGCCACAGACATACACACACATACACACACACATAGACACGTCAAACTTATAACACCCCGTCGTTTTTGCGTCAAGGGTTAAAAAAATCCATTTTCATATGTTTGCATAAGATATGCCTTCCTTAATCATTGATCCGATTATGATGAAACTATAGTGGGTTATTCTGGTTACGCCTGCGAAGTTTCCTGGCGTAAAAAAATAGTTTTTTTAAGACTGTCTTTCATGCATTTCTTAACCATTCAGCATAGGAACGCACCCGAGTAAAGCAAGAGTGAGTCGCCAATAATATTATAAATATCAAAAGGCACCAGGGACGCAGACGAGCAGAGCGAGGGTAAGTCGGTAGTTTAGCATAAAGCAAACTCTCTATCATTAGATATAAGGCAGAGCAAGTTAGTGCAAGCGGACCCCAGTTTGCCGAGCCAACAGCCCGCAATGATACTCCGGTTAATTAAGGACCGCGAGTAAATATACCGAGATGTGCACTGAATAAATGTCGATTTGCCGACGTTTAACGAGATTTAGCGTTGTGGGACTTTTTCTTATACGAACATAGGTACATATAATGTAATCGTAACGAGGTCAAATTTGTACATTAAAAATAAAAATCATATCAAGGAATTTTAATATTTCTGACTATATATTTAACCACGCATCAATCGAAAATCGAGAAAAGAACCTGCCTCAACTAGGCAGGTCTTGTGGCTAGCATGTATGGCTGTAGATCAGCAAGTCCTGGGTTCAAGTCCCAAGTCAGGTAAAGTGTTATTAGCTTTATGTATAAAGAACTTTTTAGTAGCAGCTCGGTTTTGAGAAGTTGGTGGTTTTACATCTACGGAGAGCACATAAAACCATTAGGCCACCAAAACTCTCACCGCGATGATTCAAGTTTCATCCCACTGGACTTTGAGAGTTAAAGGAATAGAAAGTACACTCGTGTTTGCGCACATAATAATATTACTACACACTACTATCTCCTGTGGAAATGCCTAATGCTAGTCTCATTGAGGGTTATGACCAAAATTATTATTGTACTATCAAGAAAAACTGGGCGGATTTCAGGACACAACTACATATATTAATAATGAAAGAAATATTAATTATAAAATCACTACATTTTACGCCAAGATAATCTTTTTTATATATCTTCTGATAGCACATTATTACCACTACAACTACACCTTTATAAGCTCAGCCAACAGACCACGATAATACTCAGTTAATTACGAAGTCAGCAAATATGCCACTAACGAGATGCGAGTTAAGTAAATTGGACTTGGCGATTTTTCATTTTACTTTACATTTGCATGTAAAAAAATATTTCTGAAAGTACCTAACTTTTGCAATTCGTTTGCAATAGTTTTATTCTTTAGAGTACGCTGTGGAAAGCCGAAACACACAAAATTCAACATTGTTTGTCTCGAAAGAAATATATAATGTAAAAAATAAGATATTTCTTACTAAAAGGTGTTAATAGTAAAAGCTAAAAAACAAAGACTGCTACAAAAAAACCGTAACTGCACTGTACAATAATGTTTTTTTCTTCAAAAAAATACCCTATGGAAACTATCACAATTTAAAATGTATAATTACATAGGACCTATAAACATCATGCTTTATAAATACGCCTACTTTACGCTAATAAACTTAGAGGTCTTCTGCACACGACGTTTTATAAAAGCACCGACGGGGACGACGCCCTATATGCACGGACGTCATCTACGTATATTCTGAGCTGATAAATTTAAAAAGGCAGATTGCTTACGTTTGATATAATATACTAAAAAAATTAAGGCAGTGGTAGCTCAGTGGTAACGCGCTCGCTTGAGAAACCTAGTGAATCGGGGTCAATCCTGGGTCTCGCACTTTTGATATTTTCATGTGCGGATCATTTCCAACACGATTACCGCTTATCTTAGGGTGAAGGTAAAATCATTTTGAAGCTTGCATGTCTGAGAGAATCTATCAAGTTTTCGAAAGACATTAGAAGTCCGCCAATCCGCACTTGACCAGCGTGGTGGACTATGGTTTGATCCCCCTTATATTCAAGGGAAGCCCGTGCCCAGCAGTGAGACGTTAAAAGGGCTGAATACATACATAAAACCTAAAAATACCCTATATGTAAAATTTCACCTGCACAATCTGATGGTCCATTTCAGCGATCGCACGCAACAAATGTGCCGTCCTCGCAGCTTTCACGAAGTCCCCGCACTGCCCCAGGGATGCTCCTTTGGCGAATAACATGCAGAACTCTGCTCGGGAGCCGCATACGCTTTTCCCTAGTGCTGTTTTTAACGCCTGTTTGGCGTACGTTCGTTCGCAACCCTAATGAAAAAATAATTGTAAAAGTTGAGGAAAAAATTTGAACGGTTAAAGTTTCAAATTAGAGAAATTTGTGTGTATGTCACATGATATGTACTCAAATTTTGACATACATTATATAGAAAAATCAGGGTACCAACCACCAAAATAAATCCGCGAAAAATCCCAAAAAGATGTTTTATTTTAATAACTTTATCAACATTTTAAATTATTTATGAACATTTTTAAGACTAAATCTATTATAGGACTTACATTATCGGGTTCAAAAGGGTGGCACAGGTCCGCGCACACCGTCAACAACGTCTGTATACTCTCGCGCACCTCCCCCGCCTTCTCGGCCCGAGCTATGGTGCCACTTAAGCAGAGATAACTGAAACAAAACAAATTATGCTATAACACTAACGCCAGCAATAGCTTATAATTCACTCGAATATATTTATATAAGTAATCCCGTTGGATTATTTCGCTAAATATATCTAGGAAATTGATAGTTTTATAATTACTAGTAGTCAATAGTAATAGATAAATAAAATTAGAGTGTTTGTAATGTCAAAATAACAGCTTTTTACAAATTCATATGGAATTATATACGGTATTTATAAGAAACGCTCATTTTTTTTATTTTTGTCTGTCTGTTTGTTCCGGCTAATCTCCGAAACGGGACTTTCACTGGCAGGTAGTTGATGTTATAAGGAGTAACATAGGCTACTTTATTTCAGTAAAAGAATTAGGGATCCGCTCAAAAAAAATGTAGATACCTAGGGACAAACCCTATCGAAGCGAGGGTGAGTCGCTAGGTTATTACAATAAAGCTCATCAATAGCTACTAAACAAAAATAAAAGAAAACTGGTTGACAAACAGAAAATAAAAATGCATTTTAAATAAAACTATCTATCGGATTACTTGGCGGTTTTATTTTGATTTTTGGTTCCCGACGTTCCGAATGCTTTACAGCAATCATGGTCACGGGAGAGATAGGTTTATTTAAAATGTCAAATATTCGCGTAAATCCAAGAAAGTATTAAGAAAAATGTACTGAACTGTTTTATCTTTGCCCATTTATATAGATTTATGTACATTTTCATGTCATTTATGACCAGCTTCAAAAAGGGGTTATGTTATTCGATTATTTCACTACTTGTTAATCAATTTTCATTATTCTTTTTTAATGAATAAATTATTTTTTAATTATAATTACTAGCAAACTATTTTTTTATATATGTCGTAGACGGTCATCAATACGGTCGCTAAACGAAGCGCGGCACGACGCCTGAGTAATGGCAGCACCTTCGGTATTATCGCCAACACTCGGCGAGCTTCGTGCTACGACGGAGCCTAGCTAAGGGAGGGTGCTAAGAGGGCTGGACACTTGCCTTCGAGCCGAGCCAAGCTTAGGACCGCTCCACTAGGAACTGTCTTGCGTTCCGTATTGTCTATACGTGGTAATAGTGAAGTGGTATATGGTTGTGTAGTGAAGTGCTGTTTAACTATGTACAAAGTGATTATTGTTAATTTGAAATACAACTGTGATTGCATCGACTTTCATTTGAACCAACACTTCCCATATAACGCCCACTGTATAATTCATGATAAAATAATGGAAAATAATAGAGAAAATTAATGCTGCTTCGATATCAGAAGCGGGATCAGTGTTGGTTCAATTGCAAAAAGAACTAACTCTGAGTGAACAATGACGTGCTATGTTTGAACAACAAAATGTCATTATGTGATCTCTTATCGAGGCCTTGCAAATGCCTCAGATGAAGAAGAACGTCAAGTTACGTGAGTTTGACCCTGACAATATGGATACGGACGCAAGATCTTGATTTGCGACTGTAGATTTGTGTTTTGCCGAATACCCTCCATACGGCGGCTAGCTTATTTTAACAGTCAGTAAGGAATTAAAAGGACTTACGACGTGGCTGTCACAATTTGTATACCAGAGAATAACATAGGAAGAGTTCAAGGTGATTTTCAAGGCGAGATTTATTTCCACCAAGACATTGGCTGGTACGCTAATTAATTTTAACAGTGACAAACCAAATGAAAAAAGAAACTCGTTACGTACGCAAATCGCCTGATGACGTCATTGACTAATCGTTGGAAAGACGCTAGCAAGAATCAGATAGCAATTGCGACTGTCCTTGCTCACTTATGTTAGTTTAATTCGAAATTACAACGATTGGCCTTTACTACGAAAATTGCTTCGCGAGATCGACTGCAGCAGGGATTGCACGCATTCTCACATTTGAAACGCAAAGCTAGTTTATCTGATAATTTTTAAAAGTGCCTGATGCTAAACGAGCCAAGCTAATGTTAAAATGTTATAAGTGCAGAAAAGTGAGTCATAAGCGGTCATAGTGTAGAAACAAGGTAAATGACAGTGTGGAACGACCTTCGATGACAGCAACGGCATTGCAGCCTGCAGTGAAGTCTCTGGTGTGCTTCAAATGTGGCAAGCCTGGTCACATCACGCTCCGGTGCATAAGTAGTGCCAGTCAAGTGGACGGCAGCAATATGGGTGCAACACGAACGGAACGACGCGTGGATGTATGTGTTGTACAACCATCTTCGAATGCTCAATGGCATAGAGGTAATCTGTATTGCTTTTGTTATAATGATGGTGCTGAATATTCGTTAGTAAGATAACATTTAGCAGTCAAATTGTGTGGTTAACGATTTTGTCCTTGCAATTTCTAGTATTGATCAAACCGGAATATTCCGCACAGAGTAAAATTTGTTTTGTAACGATTAACGGTCATTCTCTTGAAATCTTTTGAAATATTATGTTTTGCCTAATTATTAGTTACAAAATGGTATCATGATAGAACATGAGATATTGAAAGGTTTTCTATAAACATGACGGATATAAATTCTTTACACAAAAATTCTAGTAGGTCATGTACCAATAGAGGTTGATGTAAATAATGATCATCATGCCAAGCAAATGTTTTAATGAAGTCGATGGAAACCGATGTAAGCATTCTGACGGCCGTAGTAGTGTCGACCGTACTAGTAACTATTACGTAGTCATAGCCTAGTAAAAGTCGGTCTTTTGAGGAAGCTCAAACTAAATAGACCGTGGGTGTGTGATGTGCGTTTAGTTCTGGCGGAGGTCGGGGTATGTTATGACCATAGTGTGTAGTCATCGAGAGGATGATACATACGGTGATCCCGTAGTGGATGCACCTGGATTGTGGAGCAATTGTGATTGCTGGTTGGCTTGTAAAGCCGTGGCCTAAGAGTGGTTTACAAAGGTGCTAGTAAATTTGAAAATTAGTTTGATTGCTGAAGTGTTGAATGATGTTGGTACATGGCTCTGGATGACTAATGTTATTAGTTAGATTAGAGATAGTTACAGTGACTTGGAGTATAAAAAAAAAACAAAGGTGTTAGCGTTAAAGCTTTTCGTTAGAATAAAGATGATTCAGATTCAAAGTTAAGTTTTATCTGGTCAGGATTGACCGAGTCGAGCAAGTATTTTCGTTGTTTATTTGGTTGCAGGCTAACACACGGCTAACACACGAGGGCGTGTGCACGCAGGATGGCCGTGTCGTAGACGGTCATCAATACGGTCGCTAAACGAAGCGCGGCACGACGCCTGAGTAATGGCAGCACCTTCGGTATTATCGCCAACACTCGGCGAGCTTCGTGCTACGACGGAGCCTAGCTAAGGGAGGGTGCTAAGAGGGCTGGACACTTGCCTTCGAGCCGAGCCAAGCTTAGGACCGCTCCACTAGGAACTGTCTTGCGTTCCGTATTGTCTATACGTGGTAATAGTGAAGTGGTATATGGTTGTGTAGTGAAGTGCTGTTTAACTATGTACAAAGTGATTATTGTTAATTTGAAATACAACTGTGATTGCATCGACTTTCATTTGAACCAACACTTCCCATATAACGCCCACTGTATAATTCATGATAAAATAATGGAAAATAATAGAGAAAATTAATGCTGCTTCGATATATATAATAATTTATTTATTGTTACAATATGTTAGGATAACCCATATAACAAGAACAGGAAAATATTAAAATCATTAAAGATTATCGGCCGCAGGCATCGAATCCGTAACCCAATAAGACACCTCTAAATTCTATCAAACTTCAAATTAATCGTAACCCTTACCCTAACAAGCACCCTTTAATTGGAGCGAGCAAATCCGAATGAAATACAAACATCGTTGTTAAAACTCAAACACAACAACGCTGAAAGCCATAATATTTTGATATATAATCGTATTTAATGTATTACACACAGAGGCTTCATAATGAAGTATTTTAATTATAAAATAGGAATATTTTAATTACAAAATACCTACAACACTATATTAATAGCTTTCTTATTTAAGAGTTCGCTTATTCGATATGGTACAAAGCTAATTTTATTTTTGTGAGCTAATATTATTTCTATTTTCTTTCTAGCGATTATAATAGGTACGTTTTGACGGTTAGTGTGGATAACATAGTCGATCCCTTGCTTTGTGAAAAACATAAAAAACCTATCCTACGGGAACCGTAGATTTTTTACGAATAAAATATTAGCCTATGTGCTATTCCAGACTATAATCTATCTCTGTGCCAAACTTCATCCAGATCCGTACAGCCGTTCTGGCGTGATTGAGTAACAAACATCCACCCATCCAAACCTTCGCATTTATAATATTAATGGGACATGTATGAGAATGAGATTAACGTTTTGTGCCTTACGCCATCATTATGAGACATATTTAATACGTGTGAGATAACGTCTGAAACTTCTCAGAAAAGGTTAGTCAATTTTCAGAATACGTTCCGTAATTGCTACTGTTCATATTCATATAGAAAGCTAAACTATTCAGTATTTACTAATACTCGAGCGAAATCTAGGTGTTCCCTGGTAATTTAAGACATGTATTTTATCCGATTTTAAAACTAAATATAGAGAATTAAACAATTCTAATAACGACGATATTTTTTCGAAACGTCGGGAACCAAAAATCCAAATAAATCCGCGAAAAAAACTGAAAAGATAGTTTTATTTAAAATGTCAAATATTCGCGTAAATCTAAGAAAGTATTATATTTTTTACCAATAAAAAAATCAAACCGACGCCCCATCAAAGCAATCGCGGCGAAATGATTTGCAAACAAAAAAACACAACAACAGCATATTTCTTGCAAATTCAATTATAACTGCGCCAACATTTGAACAGTAGCCGACACAGCCAAGACAACCGTTCCTACCCTTATTACTTATATCTTAGAGATTTTATTATAGAATGGTATAAAGCTCATTGTTAAGTTTTGCTGAAGCAAGTTTACTTAACTGCAAATTGAAATGATAATAAGATGGATTTTTATTATAGTCTCGCGATCAGCATACCGTTTT